TAACCCGGCTCAACATCGTCATGTTATTAAATCAAAATCCACGCCCCCCCCCCTCCCCGCAGTATGTCAATCCCATCCGAAACTTGTTTTTCTAAGGATTCTTTTTATAATATCATGAAGGGCGCACTGTATAGATTACAGCTGAAAAAGGGCTAAAGTACCTTACCCCCTCCCCCAATCAAATCTAATCCACCCCGACATCATCATGTTAATAAAGCGAAATCCATCTCATCAATCTTGTCCATCCAAATTTGCTTTTATTAGGATTCTTATACAACGAAGGGTGCACTGTAAATATATCTTGACCTGCTTGTTGAATATAAAACAGCCGAGAGAGCCCCCCCCCCCCGTACATGTTACCCATATCCCTTTGCATATTCGAGTAGATGGACAATCGAGGAGAAAAGAACTATATTCCCCTTTCATTTCAACGTTGCTTCATCATACTGCAAGCTATTTTCTTGGCCTGGTTTATTAGATGGGCAACCTAAAATAAACACTCAACATCCCTATACTATGCTCAATCTGAGTGCACCTCGCGATCGTCTCTTGGCTCCCGTACATTAGAAAAGACAGTAACATCACCCCCTTGTAATTTACCCAGGTAGACCTTCATGTAATATAGCTGTAGTGGTAGATAGCTAAGTAGATGACTAGCCGGCAATGGACAATATCATCCCATCGTGTATCCCAGACTATGCTTTATCAGAATGCATTGCATCTCTTTGCCTGATCGAGTAGAAGAATATTATCATGAATGTTCATTAAAAAAAGACAACTCCTCTTCCCCCGGTCCCAAACGTGCGCCATCAAGATCCAAATACAACATAAAGAGAGTCAAAGAATCTGTTAGCCTCGTTAATGATATAATAACATCTGAGAAAAGAAAAACAACCCTCCAGCCCCCCCCCCCCCCCCCCCCCCCCCCCCCCACCCCCATCTCACACAACGCCCTCAATCCTAACCTTTCTTTACCAGAATGCACATCTTAATTCTTCGCATGGTTGAGTAGATGAATAGCCGAATAAGAACGATATCTGACAACCAACCCGTACCACTCCATCCCGTACCATACAAAGTGTAATAGAAGTATATACTGTTATTAAATGACTGAAGTGAGTATGAAGAAAAATGAGAGAAAATAAATCTCTTAGGGCACCAAAATATTGGTCACTTTCCCATAATTTATCATATTAACATCCGAGAAAGAAAAAAAACCACCACCACCACTCCACCTTCTCCTCCGCTATTACAGCCGTATTACCAAGATCCGAAGCTATACTAAGGCTGAAGAGTGCATCTTATGCATCCCTTGGCCTGATTAAGTTGAGCAGAGGAGGTATATATAGGATGCCTTATATTACCGACAAGTTTTCATGTCATGTTAGTTAATAGAAAAGACAAGTCCCGCGCGCTTCAATTTCATCACACTAGCCAATAACCGAATCTGTACACCTCACTGTAAATATAGGCTACATAGCGATGCATGGGGGGTAATGGAATAGTCGGAGGATGGGGGTATAGATGATAAATTTATAGAATTACCGAGCCCGGTACAGCTTCGGGGGACGAGATCATTTACTTCGGAACTTCGTGTCGTTGTGACTCGTGGGAAATTTATATTAGGCCGAAAGGCATTGGCCGATCCACAGGGCCATATCCCCATCCACTTATGAGAGAGAGAGAGAGAGAGAGAGAGAGAGAGAAAGAGAGGGGGAGGGAGAGAGAGGGAGAGAGAGAGAGAGAGAGATGGTGTAAAAAGGTCCTGTTGGGTTAAAAGCCAAGTATTCAGGGAAAGTGTTTTATCCAAGTTTCTACATGTATACTCCGGGAAAAAGCATCCTGACATCACATAATCATTTGCAGAAAAAGATTGGTGCCGGGAAAATGTCGCCCCCCCCCCCCTCCCTATAGGATCCTGGTTTCGCCTTGTAAAGGTATTAGTTTTCATGTTCTCTTAGTATTACAATCTAGCTTATTACTCTCATGACGTATGCATGACCGTCTGGAGGTCACGTGATCTTGATCAGATAGATGGGATGTCATCAAACATAAAACAATAACAAAAGAAGTGTAACGCGCGAAAAGATCAGTTCCCCACAACTCAAACACGGTTATGAGCATTTAACCTTTTTTCATGTCATTATTACATTACCACACATCCCGAGAGGTGTTTCAAAATCAATTTAAAATAGACTATATAAAGATATCATGCTTTATCTATTACGAAAACCCAGATAAACACACAAAACATTACATCTTGAAATGTGCCTTTGAAAGTTGCATTTACGTCACGTTCTAATTACGAACAGTACGTGTTATCATAACATTTAATTTAATCTTGTCGTCTTTTGATTAAATTCACACTTGCGAAGTGAACTTATCATAATCACGGTATATTTTATTTCTACCTCATATCATCATATGATAATCAAACGTAAAAGATATTTTGGTTTGATCAACATTCAGATTTGGCAGTAAATACTAGAAATAAGAGAATATTGCTTCCTTTTCGAGCAAAGAAAATACGATTGGACACCGCGTGATTCGCTTATTTCGTCTCATGAAATACGGTGTTTTGATTACAACCTAATATCAGCTTGTTAGCGATACGCAAGCGAGGTGAGAACACTTTATCCGATTTATGTCAAGCGACTGACGTCAATAAATCGACGGTCGTTTGGAAAGACGATAGCGTTTCTTTCATTAAGATCCGGTTGTTTCTATCTTTAAAATATGATACTCAGCTGATTTGTTTAGGTGTTATGATTTTTGATTGAGTCGATTTTTTGGTTTGTACGCTTTGTCGAGTGGCATCACGAGAGTGCACCTGTTCAAAATGCTTGATCATAACTGAACACTGTCACAACTTTGTTTGGTTCATTATATGTATTCATGCCGTCGTGGAAAACACCTTTAAAATGGAAAGGGTGATTTATAATATAAATGAATAATATCATTATTGACAAGAGAGATTAATATGATCTAATTTGAAATGAGAGTGTTTGGGAGGAGCTGTACATTATCACTAATATATGATGATGATAACATTCAACTGATTACATGTTATTTAATTTTGTTTGTTTTTGTTACCAGTCGGGTATTCAAAAACAAACTAACCAATTTTGACAAACTTTAATTTGTACATATTACCAGAAATGAGTTAACACTCTTTAGGTAATAAGCAGGCAATAACGTTAATCTATTCTGACATACACTACCATTTTTGCACACATTTCTTGAGAGATTTATCACCATGGCCAGATAAAAACATAAGTCTCACCCATCTTCAAAGTGCGACACCACACCAAACAGTCACTGTTATGATCACAGAAACAGATTCCAGCAAGTAACAACACTTCTGTATTTTGCCTGCACTCATAAACCAAACTTTTTATACTAATGTTATTACCACATTGATATCACACAGTGTCATGTTAATGATACATTTGAACAGACAAGGTCATACACTTACCGTAAGTGAAAATAAATATTTCTAGAGTGGATTTACAAACTTGATGTTATTTCAATTAGCACACAACAAGGACAAAACCCATCAATCAATCATTTGATTTGTATGCAAGGTAGTTTTCACTACTGCTCATTTATTTCCAAACGTTAAAGGACAAATATATAATGTGAATGTATGGGCTCATAATGCAAGGCACAAATATATGTGATTTACAATATGGAAGATCACAACTGCAGCTATATTGCACAAATGTATGCAGAATTGATACAATGTTGCATTGGTCATGCAAGCATAAGAGAACAATTTGCACTGATGATAAATAAAAGTTCTGGAATAAAATATTGCACAGAGGAAAATGACATCAAAGAATATATTGCATTGATGATACTAAACAAAAATGGGCACATTTTGAACCGATGAGGAAGAAAAATATTCATGAAGAGTATTGCACATGTTAGAATGATAGTAATGGAAGATATTGCACTTTTAATATGAACATTAATTGGAATTATTACACATATTAGTAAACCAATTATATTTTACTCAGTGAATCTTAAGTGTATGACTAGAAAAATAAATGTATTCTAAGGGAAAATCTTGTGTACCAATCCAAGTTAGTGAAATAAATCATTTTAATATAGATATTTATAAACTCATAGTACACTTATTTGCTCTTCATTCTTATCTCCATACAAGTTATGTCGCTCACATTAACAGACCCTTAAACAGTAAAACTTGTCTATAAAGAGAGGTCTTTATAGGCATGTGGTCTTTAAGTACAGGTTCCATTAGTACACATTTCAATGACAAACACTATTCAAGGAGAAACAGAAAGTGTGGTCGTTATACTTTTTGAAACTCATAAAACCTTTCACACTAGCAACGCCAACATTTTCTTTAACAATCTAGAGATAGACTTTTTGACTGAATGAATAAAACTGTAAAGATGTACAGGAAAATGTTACACATGTTGCATATATAAATAAGAGTGTGATGTTAATTCATCTCACAATATTACATTTAATTAATCACTTCCATACTGCAATAGAGTGCATAGACACGATTTGGGCAGTCACTTATGCTCTTTGCGTTGTAGCCTTCTGTATCTTAAAGTTAATTGCCAAAACAGAATAGTGGAGTCTTTATTCACCAAACACTATGCAATGTAAGCAACAAACCCTGTCAGAAGTCATTCATGTTAAATATATCATAACACCTGATTAACTTCACAGCGATATTGTTGTCCAAGTCGATTGTAAAAATTGTAAACATCTGTAAAATTGAGCTTAGCTGGAGTGCTCCCCAGGGAGTGGAGAATAAGTATAAATCGTGAGCAGGCAAACCTGAATCTGATGACCAGGGTTACACTATACCTGTATTAGAGACATAAACAGTGTATGAAGGGCTACTTAAACCCAAAATAGTATAATTGTTATGTTATTTGAAGAATAAGCAGGAAAATAATGCAAGGAAACAGCAAACTGTTGAATAGCTGATGTATCATATACATATACACTTCCATTTTCCTTCATTTCTGAATTTTCTATCTGCTGTGGCATTAAGTTTATATATCTTCAGGGAACATCATATTTCTTTGGGGCTTATGACCATGGATATTGCTATTGATGAATTTCCAAAACAAGAAATAACAGAATCATCACTAAAATACTCTTTGATCAGCAGAGACAACTTCCAAATCCTGAGTCTTAAACATATGACGTCAATGACAGGGGAAGGATCTTTACAATAGTTATTCACCTGCCAGACATATCACTAGGGGTACATTTATAAGCTTATAAAACGGTTGGAGATGGCTTAATTTCCGGTAAACATTTCTTCACATCATCTGTTTGAAGCTAGAAGGGCTATAACACATATACCTTTACACAGAATTAATGGCATACTGGCTCTAAGCAAAAGATATTTGATGTGGGTGTCATACAGGGTTACCTCGAGAAAGGTATTCAACAGTCAAGACGGACTGAAGATAAATGAAGGCAAAATGGAATAAGCAATAAGGCCAATCCCGAGGGGTACTCTAAAATGCTAAATTTGTCAAAAAGCCAAATATTGGCAATATACATACACAGATAAATTAAACATTTATTGCATCTCGATTCAACATGGTGGATCTAGCTACAATTTTTTATTATTCATGATTTGTCTGAGAAAAAAAAAAAAAAATCCATGTCATTCGTGTTAAACAAAATACATTATGCTTCAGCTTGCATGATAAAATATGCAATATTAAATGATCAAAACAGAAAGAAATCATATAATTTTCTTGTTCCTTAATGATAAATAAATTACCAAAACTAAAATAGACATATGATAAACAACTCTTAACATCATCAATCAAATAAATACGTATATTGATTTAAATAAAACAGAATCAAGCATTGAAATACACTTCTGACAAGTCCTCAACTATTTACAATATTCTTAATAGTACTAGGAATGAGTCAATATATTGCGCTGAATACATGAATCTTACAGTACATAGACAAGAGGTCCCAAGTCACTGAATGTATATGTACAACAAGGGTTAAAATTCTTTAAAAGAATTATACTGTAAAATGCAACATTTTATGTAATGTACAACAAACACTGAGTTAATTTCAGAATGATTTTACGCACCTGTTGAGAGCCAGAAGGGAATTATGTCTTTGTTTTTAAATGGTATGCATCAATGCCCTACTCGCTCTCAACAGGTGATTTAATATAGGAACTTAGAAGTTACACAGATTTAAATTCCATATCATATCTTTGTAATCGGATAAATGTAATCTCAAATTTAATCTCATATTTTAAGTCACAATAGGTTTTGGTTCTGAATAGCAAAGGCACTAGAATACATTTACAAATAAATTTAGTCTGTAGTTTATACCACTATGTTTTTATAGTTCATATTTCTTGAAGAACAGGAACAAGGCAGAATATAAAATTACAAGCCAGTATATATTGCTTGAATTTTTAAAGGACACTGACAGAATATCATAATTTCACAAGTGGAAATGGTGCACATGATGTTAGGGGGCTTTCAAAAGAACCACAATAACACAGTTTTTGACTTATGCACTGGGAAACTTAGTAATTAGTTGGAAACAAAGGAGATCATTGTTTCTTCTTCCTTACTATCGTCAAATCCATTCCTTGAGAGTGTCACGTAGAGGGAGTGCTTACTGGATGGTGATTTACTTCCTGATGACTTACTGCCGAGAGATTTGCTCCTCGGTCTCTTGCTCCCTCTACGGCTAGACTGGTGCTGGAGTAGAGGAAGTCCTTCAAATCTTTCACTGTCAATACAGCTGAACAGAGACCAAGAGTGCTGCCTGGATTCGGATTCTGAGTAAATATTGTCTTCAGTTGCAGCTTTCTTCAAGAGTTTGGTGAAGGTACCCCCTGAGGGTAATCTATGCAGGAAGTTGTGTTCTAAGGTAGCAGAGGTCCTAGAGCGCCCTCTATGGATGACCGGTGGCAGATCCTCAACAGCCACTACACACGAGTCCTGCGATGTGGATGGGGTGCTGGTGTTTGACATTGACGTTGAGGGGGCACTTGCTGTTGAGCTGATAATCGAGATGCAGTTTCTCTCGGTCTCTGAGTCGCGTCTCAGTCTGCGCGACCCGCTCGGGGCGAGCTCAAAGCTGCAGCGTGAGAAGCTCTTCTTGTTCTTAGATCTGCGCTTGGACGCCCGGAAGATGTGGCCCACGCTGGCCAGGTGACCGGTGAGGAACTCGTCATCGTGTATGCGGTTGAATTCACGCCCCATGTGCATCTCGGTGCTACTGTTACTCCTGGTGCTGTGTTTGGGGGCGGGGTGCTTGGGACGGACGGGGGAGAGGGGTAGTCCGGTGCTGTGGATCTCTTCAGGGGGAATGCTGCCGAGAGGGACACCAAGGCAGGGTGTGATAAGGTGTGGTCTTTGACAGAGGATGTCGTTTACATCTTTGGCTGTGGGCCGATGCTGTGGTTGGATGGCCCAGCACTGCATCATCAATGCTCCTCTGTAAAATAAAAAAAAAGAAGTACATAATACTCCAATATCTATTACATGAATATAGCATGGGACAAAGAAAATACCCCCCCCCAAAAAGATGATCTGAAGATCTAAAGATAAGCAGCTCAAAGTGAACAAAGCAAAGAGGAAATTGAAATAAGCAGATCAACAGGCAGCAAATAATAACAAAGATTATAGAGAGGAACAGAAGCAAATAAATGAAAAGAACTTTAAAGAAATAAATAAAGAAAGACTAGACAGGATCACATAAAACTCCAAGAACAAATCACAGATATGTGGATTGAATTAATTCAATTGATGCAAATACTGATAATCTGGTTAGTACCTAAATGAGCAGAACCTGCAAAGACCTTTCCAATGCCATAACCTAACTAAACTTCCTGAATATTCAAATTGCATTTAATATATACTGTGTATTTGAGGAAAAAAAATAAGTGTCTGCACAAAAATTACAAAGGAAAAAATATGATATGAGAAAAAAAATTGCCTTGTGCAATATTATTGGTAACAGTCTTTTGTAAAATTGATGGTATCACATGAGAAGATTTATATTGTTTCAAGAAATGGGGAAGAAAGAAACGAAATCTTATAAAGAATAATTTGCACAGGTAAGATGAATCCAAAAGCTGAATACTAACAATGCTGGGCTGCATCCTTCAGGAGGTCTCAGGCTGTTCCTATTCCTGATGTAGTCCAGCACCTCAGCATTGGATAGCTCTTGGTAAGGGAAACTACCAAAGGTCACAACCTCATAAATGACCACGCCCAGCGACCAGACATCACTCATGGTGGTAAAGATGCCCTCCGTCAAAGACTCCGGAGCCATCCAGCGTACGGGTAGCTTGCCTGGAGAGAGAGGGCGACATACATTTCAGAGATGAGTACAAAGAGAGTTTGAGATTCACTTCCATGCATTTACGAAGCAATGAGGAAACTTGGTGCATATTTGTAGGAGTGAACGTTTGAGACATTCTACACATTAACTGCTCTTAGGCAGAAGGGTATTGAAACAAATAATTTATCACATCTTTAGCACCCTTCTGGCCCTCAAGAAAAGCTTACTAAGGTATTTTCTTTGACAACAATCTGATATAAGCTAGAAGGTTTACATATCCAAAAAAAAATGTCTAAGCAAATAGCTATTGTAACATGTTCATCTCTATGTAAGATAAACAAAGAAAAAAACAATTACAAACAGAGCAAAATTGGCTAATGGTCAAAATAAAAGAAACAATCTATTTACTCATGAGTATATAAAATAGTATAGTAAAGTATATTAAAACTACATGTATAACCTGTAGTTCCATTATACCGGTAAGTTGAACGATGAGGCATTATAACAGTACAAGAACTTGATAAATTGAAAAACATTCTTGATTTCTATAGCGGAATTTTTGTTATAGTCAGTTACTAATTAACAATATATATGCAGTCAAAGACTTACTTCTTTTGCCGAGCCTATAGTAGTCAGAGTCGTAGAGGGCTCTTGTCATACCAAAGTCTCCAATCTTCACTGTATACGATGCATCAACCAAGCAATTTCTGCACGCCAGGTCCCTGTTATATAATAAAAATGAAAATTAATGTACCAACAATGGTATTAAGTTTTTAAAATTGAAATTGGTGCCATGAATTTATAGATATTGGTTCTTTTTCCTCTTATTCTGATTAGGAATTGATGAGAATTATAATGGTGGTGGTGGTGATTTGATTGCACTTATGGTAACGTAATCATGAATATCAGTAAACATTGACACAAGATCAACATCACCATCAGATTGAAATGGTGGTCATGTTGAAAATATGTACTGATGATGATGAAGGTGGTGACGATGGTGATTGTGATGATTGTGGTGGTGATGATAATGGCAGTGATGCTAGTCATGATGGTGATAGTGGTGGTGTTGACGATGACTGCAGTAATGAGAGTGATGATTATTGATGATGATGATGATGATAATGATAATGATGATGATGATGGTAATTTACTGGTGATAATGGTGAAGGTAGTTGTGATGGTAATAACGATGATAAAAATGATAATGCTAATAATTATAGTAAAGAAAAGACAGTATCCATTGGAACTGTATAGCTTTACTGTAAAGTTAGGCCAGCAGATGAGAACTTGTTTTACCCCTATCAAAACTTTGCTTCACTACTACCTCCCTTGCGCAATTCCATCTCACTTTCATTTATCATTGGAGATGTTGCAATCAACCTCCCAACTGGGAGAAGATACTTAGATAGATAGATAGATTTTTCTCCATCTCATCTCCATAATCACTCACCTATGCACATAGTTGATGCTGGCTAGATAGCTGAGACCGGACGCTATATCTGACACCATAGACGTGAGTTGGTCTGGACACATGACATGTTGATTCCTCTCATAGACGCCCTCACCGACCAGATGACGACGTCCAAGGAGAAAGGTTTTTAAGTCGCCTAAAGGCAATTAAAAACAAGTGTATTGTTACTTTGTTGGACACTCTGTGTTCATTGCAGTCGAAAAATTTACTATCTATATCTGTTGATATATTTGAAAATTAACAGCTTTATTAGCAGCGATATCAATTTCAAAACCACTTCATCCTCTTTATATCTGTTTATCCACACATTCATAAAATTTGTTACCGATTCTCTCTTTAAACAGGCTGACTATATTATAATTTTCTAGGTCAATGAGAAGCCTTTGAACTCCAAAAGCTCTTCAGCAACCCATGCGAATCACCAGGTGATATTGCTTTCAGGTGCTTACCATAGAGCATGAACTCCATGACTGCATACATTGGTTCCCCTCTAGTACACACTCCTAGTAGGTTGACAATGTTCTTGTGGTTGAATCTCTTCATTACCTCAGCTTCACTAAGGAAATCAAGCTGGAAAAAAAGAGAAGAGGAAAGTTAACATTTTTTCCACAAAGATAGTCACATCTTGTTCCTGCACTACTTTGCCTCGATCCTTACACTTCAAAGATTATTCTCAACATCATGATTTGTAAAATCAATTAAACTGTAAACTGGTTTTAAAAGAGTCTTCAACTTTTCCTCTACCATATATTATTCTAACCTACTTTGGAACTAAATACTCATGATAGTCTTATATCTAACAGGCAAATTTGAGGTTGGAATGGTTTAAATTGTAATAAGTGTCCTCCGCATTTTCGTTTGCTATCAAGACTTCTAGGGATAAGTTTAGAGACTGTCCCATTAATTCATGAATACTTTAAAAGGTATTGACTAAGCTTTTTTCATAATACATTCTGACTGATGCATACTTCACAGCCTAACACTTCTCTCAAACACCCCTACAATCAGAGATTTTCTCACCTAGCAAAATACAATAAATTATCACAAGTGAATTAAATAGTTTATTCGTAAGCATGTGGGGAAGAAAATTCTAGATATTTTGAATTTATGATTAGAATTCAACAGTCAATATATGTATCCCTTGTAATGGGTTACCCTGTCTCACCTTCTCCTCCACCGATGCCCCCAGCTTCAGGGTCTTGACTGCTACCGCTGCCCATTTATTATCATCCAGCAGTGCCTCACCACCGTACACCGTACCAAACGCTCCCTCGCCCAGCTTCCTGTTCAGTACCACGTTCTCTCTGGGCATCTCCCATTCGTCCAGAGTGATTAGGGCTCCCTCGCCCAGCCCCATCAGGGTAAGCTGCTTGATGTGCTGCTCGGTACGCTTCACCTTCCTGTCATACCTGGTGCATGGAAGAGAGACAACAAGAAGACTTCAATAAGATATTCTAAAAGTAATTTTTTTAAATATTTGATGTAATATATCTGATATTTAATACTAGATGTACAGATCAAAATCCACCGCTTGGGGGGAGGAGCTTATGGCTACACTATACAAAATGTTTCAAAAATATCTTCTCAATTTCTCGAGATAGCGAAAGTATAATCGCTCTAATTTTCCTATTAACAATTATTTCTGGGGAAAAGAGGGAACAAGGACTAATCCTATACCATGAAAGCCAGGGAGTATAACCTGAGCAAAAGAGTAATCACTCTACCAGGCCAGTCAACCAATCCATCAATTTATACCATTGTGTTGAGTTTGTGTAGATAGATAAAAAGGGAACCAAGTGACCAAAGGACGAGGAGGCGCGATAGCTCAGTTGGTAGACCAGTGGTCCCGTATTCTGGTGACCCGGGTTCGAAACCAAGTCGATGCGCTAGTACCCTTTGGTAAGGCATTAATCCTCATTACCAGGTCCTGCGGGGAGGACCTTAAGCTGTCAGCTGCCTGGTTGCTTACTTACAAGCATTTATGCTTTCTTAGCAGTCAGGTAAAATAACCACCAACACCAATGATAATTACTTTAAGCCATATTTGAGGGATTTAACTAGGGCATCCTACTTGGTTTGAACTCAAGACCTTCTGGTTAAAAGACCACTGCAAACCACTAACCCATCAAGATACATGGTACAATAATAATCAAATAATTCTTTCTGTAAAATTAAGAAAATTGACAAAGTTGACACTTTGAAATAATGCTCCATATAAGCGGATGCTACATTCTACCACTGCTTTCATTAGGTGTATACCTTCTTTTGATGAAGACAGCCAAGATGATGGTTGAGACGAGTATGACAAGGAGGAGGATGGTGTTCATGAGAGCGATAGCTGTACGACAATCTGATCCAAGGGCTTGCCTTAATCCCTCTACCATACAGGTGGGTCCTGAAACAAAAAAGTACAATATAATTTTAAAACTAATTTTTAAAATGGTGATGATCAAATCAATAGTCACGTTGATTCTTTCAAACTTTCATTAAAACTATTAACTATGTTTAACTGTTCATTATTCTTTACACTTTAATAGGCAACAAAATACTGTCCATTTGATAACTATGATTCAGACTTGTCCCATTGTCAAATCACTTTAATACATCAACAAAAGTGATCAAATGAAATACCACAAAACAGAATAAGATTTACATGGCTTGTATTTTCAAGAACAAATATTTTTTCTCCTTCAACCTAGAATAGCTTCTTTGGGAGGTTCCCAAATTGACTTACCATTTGCGCCATCTGTTGGCTGGCTACCTGAAGCCCACATGATTCCTGATGTGTTGAGTGATAACGAACCCTGGTCCTTTGTATCCATATCAGGAATGTAGGAACCAATGATCTACAGTACACGAGAAGAAAAATACAAAACATGGTTCTTAAAACTATTTAAAAAGACAAAAGACAAAATAATTGACAAAAAAGCAGATGTAAAAGACAAATAATGACAAACAAAGACAGAGCATGGCCAAATATGCATTATTCACTAGAGAAAATGATGAATTTCCCCAAGATTTGCAATATTTTGCATTGATATCTTGATCAGATTTTTCCTCATATACAGAGCTTATTGAGACTCGATGGTATGCAATCAAGTCTCAGTGTTTTGAAAGACAGATAGAATTAAAAAGTATTAATGTTAAAAGAAAGATACAAATATAACTTAGACAAACATTGTTGTAAAATATGAAAGGGGAAGAGATCAAAATACGATTGGCAAAGAATAAAAAAGGTCACAGAGCAAGAAAGGTTTACCGTAAGGGGGAGGAGAGAAGGGGAAAGAAAGATAGAGAAAAGGAGAGAGATGGGAAGAAGACAAAGGGATAACAGCAGAGAGAGGAGAGACAAAGCATTGAGATACAGAGGAAAATGACTTAAGACGAAAGCCTAAATATGACATGGTTTCAGAAGAAACAGGCATCAGTCCTGATAACGATCTCTACAACAAAATATGGAGCAATGAAAACCTATTTCATGGTCAAATTCAGGAAGAGCCTGAAATAAGCATACAGGTACTAGAGGAAGACCTAGATAAATAGGGTCTGACTGAGAAATTTCCTCTTAATCATTGACCACCTGCCCCAGACGTTCCTTGTTTTCAGACAACCAAAAGTTTTGAAATCCAATTTCCTCCTATTTCTACCCAAACATATAATTGCTCCTGGCAGTCGGCAGGTTATTTGATAGTTGCTGGAATTGCGACAGGAAAAAGAAAAGAAAGGAATTCGATCAGATATGGATAACGGAAATGCACATTTTCTTGTTAAGTGATGAATAAAATGTATCATGATAGATGATGAGGTATATGCGAACCATGTGTTTTAAGGTAGGTTCTTAATCAACATTAAATAATAAGGTGACTCAACAGAAGTCACAACTCTCAGTGACAGCTAGCCCAGACAACCCCCAAAATAAAACCTTCAGTGACAAATTTCTCTAAAAAAAATAGATTAGACTATGACACTTTGGTAGACAGTATTTGTTGTCCTAATGTAAACATAAGGAGGTAAATAATCCCTTTAGTTGAAACTTTCCAATATATTTGTAAGAAACAAATTGAAGAAGAAAAAAAAGCTTCATACATAAAGAAATTCCAAAGTGCAAAATACCATGAATAGTTCTTAGTGCGATATACGTTCATAATAAAATCAAGTATGAAGGTCCAATGAATGATGTAAATTTAGAAATGCAGCAAGTAAACATACACGCAGGAAATGAAAAGTTATCAATTGTGAACTTTTATAATCCTTGTAAGAAATTAAATGAATATATTATGAATGTGCTATTAAAAGACGTTAATAAAAATGATAAAGTTATTATAGTAGGCGATTTTAACGCTCATGGTACCATGTGGGGAAGTGACAAAACAGACAAGAATGGACAAGTGATAGAACAATTCGTGAATCATCATAATCTAACTGTTTTGAATGATGGCGAAGGAACCAGACTGGATCCACGAACAGGAAAACTGTCATGCTTAGATTTATGTATAACCACTCCTTCACTGGCATGTAGAAGTACTTGGAGAGTCATGGAAAGCCTTTTTGGAAGTGATCACTTCCCAATAAATATCCAAACAACTTTAGACGGGAAAAGCTCTGAATATAAAGATGCTTCAATAAGAAGTGCAGATGATTTTATCTCCTTTAAACATATAAATTTGAAAAAATTTGCTAAGAAATGTGAAGAGATGATTACAAATGATCTCATACTTATAAATAATGATATACAGGAAATATATGATAATTTCATGAAATATTTAAAACTGTGTATAAAAGAAACTGTACCGAAAAGGAGAAATGTCTCTAAAAATCCGGTGCCTTGGTGGACCAAAGAATGTACAGAGAAAATCAAAGAGAGAAATAGAATGTGTAATAAGATGTCACGGAAAATAACTTTTGAAAAGGTAGATGAGTACTTAAAAAAGAAAGCAGAAGCACAGCGTGTGCTCCGCCAAGCAGAACGAAATTACTGGCGAGCATTTTGCACAAAGCTTGATCAGTATATGCCAGAATCTAAGATCTGGGCTTGTATAAAACGGCTGAATGGTGTACTAATAAAAAAAACAAAAAATATGTCAACATTGATTGTAAATAGTAAAGATATTGTCTCCGATCAGGAGAAAGCAAATGCCTTTGGAAATTACTTTCAAAAAATAGGAATAAAAGACAGGGATACTAATAAGGAATTACCGAAGGCACCAAATAATGACATTCATATTTTAAATGTAGATCATGTTATAAATGAACCCTTTTTTATAACAGAATTTGAAAAGGCAGTGCAATCGCGAAAAAAGACTGCCCCAGGAAAAGATAATATACCTTACGTTGTTTATGAAAATCTGCCAAAAGCAAACAAGGAAATCATGCTGAACATTATTAACTTAATATGGAAAACCGGGGAAATTCCAATTCAACTAAAGCATTCTATAATAATCCCTATTCTCAAACATGGAAAAGATCCCAGAATTACATCGTCATATAGACCAATCTCTTTAACATCATGTTTTGCCAAAATAATTGAACGAATGATAAAAGAAAGATTACAATGGTATGTTGAAAAGCATGAATTATTACCCAATTTTTTAAGTGGATTTAGGAAAGGTCGTAGTGTGACGGACAATATTGTACAATTAGAAAATGACATCCAAAAGAGTATAAATTGTAATGAACATGTAATAGCGGTTTTCTTGGATGTCGAAAAGGCTTTCGATACAGTTTGGATAAAGGGTCTGGTTTTTAAATTAGCAAAAAATGGAATAGAAGGGAACATGCTGAGATATATAGAAAATTATCTAACAGCACGAACTTTTCAAGTACGAATTGGAAATACAGAATCTAAAACTTATAAAACGCATAACGGGTTACCACAAGGGAGTGTTTTAAGTCCTCTTTTATATAATATAATGATGGGTGATATACCTACAGACCAAGATGTAAGCATATCTATGTATGCAGATGACTGCGCAATATGGATATCAGGCAGGAACATTGTACATATTACTGAAAAAATACAGAAATATTTGAATCTTTTAAATCTTTGGTTTGAAGAGTGGGGGTTTCGACTCTCACCTGTCAAAACAGTGCCCGTACTTTTTACGAAAAGCTGGAATGCCGTTCTACCGCCTGATATAGAACTGAATGGAAATGTGTTAATGTACGAAAAATCTCATCGCTTTTTAGGGGTTATATTTGATAAAAGGTTATCTTGGCAACCACATATCGAAAATGTAATCACGAGAAGTAAAAGAAAATTAAATATCTTAAGATGTCTAACTGGAACAAACTGGGGAAGTTCCTCGAAATCACTTATCATGGTGTACAGAGCAATTATAAGGTCTCTTTTTGATTACGGATGTGAGGCGTATGACAGTGCAGCTGCTACCACCAAAAAAGCCATTGACTCTGTCCAATACCAAGCACTGAGGATATGCGCAGGTGGGCTGCCATTAACCTCCTTAGAATCACTACAGGTGGAAATGGGGGAAATGCCTTTGGATATAAGAAGACAAATGCTTTCAAGTAAATATAGACAAAACATCGAAAGATGGGCGAATCATCCGTTGTTAAAAAACATTGAACCATGTTGGCATTTTGAATACTTGAAGGGGAAAAACGTAAACAAACCTTTTGGATATAGAATACAAAGCAAGCTGGGAAAACGTATAGAAACGATAACCTACTCCCCATTTCCACCATGGTTATTCTACCCTCCGGCAGTGTCAACGGAATTAAGTACTCGAATAAAGAAAACAGATCATCCTACACAACAAAAACAAAGCAGCCTGGAAATCATACATACTAAATGGGCGACTCAATTACATATATACACCGATGGATCAAAAGTACCTGAAAGAGGGACCTCTGCAGCTGCTTTTTACGTCCCTTACTATTCTGTACATTGGAGCAAAAGGTTAGCAAATTTCACCTCTTCGTACCCCGGTGGGGTCACTCAATGTGACTTCCGGACCGCATGACCGTTACCAAAATCGCGGAAAAAGGGGTCAATTTCAAGCAATGTCCGCGGACAAAATATTCCTCGAAATAAAGAAAATAGGGGTGCACAGGTGTCCCCGAAATTGATAAATAGGGGTCAGGAAAAGGGAAAAGAGAAAACTGGGAAGGGAAAAGAGAAAACCGGGAAGAAAAATTCTCGGAGCCGAGTCTTGTCCTTGAAATATGGTAAAATAGGGGTAAATTTGCGAAAGTGTCCTTACAATCTTATAACTAGGGGTATTCCAAAGTACGATTTTGTCCTTGTTTTGACGTAAAAAAGGGGGTTAAATTTCACAAAATGTCCTTGAAATTGACCGCAAAAGGGGGTTATATGCATTGGTGGTAACGGTCATATGTGTCACTCTTTGCAGGGGAGTGACCCCACCGGGCTTCGTACAGGGCTGAATTGGCTGCCATCATTCTTGCTCTCAGATGGGTAGATGAATTAGACATTTATGTGGGGGTTGTTATTTTTAGTGATTCACTGAGTGCACTTATTGCATTACAACAACAGAAGGACGAATCTTTTATTCTGGAAATTCTCACCATGACTACTCACTTAAAGAATAAAGGAGTTGATATATATGTAGAGTGGATACCTGGACATTGTGGAATAAAAGGGAACGAGATGGCGGATTTCCACGCAAAGGCCGCATTAGTAAAGAAAATAGAAGTCAATAATAACCTAAATATGTCAGAAATGAAAAGCTTAATTACTACAAGTTCCAAACTCCTTTGGCAAGAAAGGTGGAACAAAACCAACTCGTATTTGAAAACATATCAAAAAGATGTTAATAAACCATATATATGCTCATTAGAGAGACAACATTCAACAATAATACATCGA